GCCCCCTCACTGCCCATCCTTCGCCGAGGGTTGGAAGGAAGCATTCTGCACGAACGAAATGGGCACGGAAAGAATGGGTACAATGCCCAACAGCGGATCTTGTTCATTTTGTACAGGACTCGCTGTCCACGCCGCCGCGGCCTATGTCCATTCGAGACAGAAGGCCGCCTGCTCAACAGCGGCCGCTGTTGATTCGGGACAACATTTGTTGTTGGGCATTGTACTCATTCTTTCCGTGCCCATTTCGGGCGTCCAAACCGCTGGCAGGTCGACGTCTTCCCCCTCGAGCCGGTCCCCCCTTGCCCATCGGTCGTTGGAAGTAAATATGTTTGGAGTGCCAGATTCCAATCTGCTTCGAGCGCCTTCCTGCTCCAATGATGCTTCTCACCCTTTTCGTCCTCCAGGGGGCGGGCGGACACCCGAACTGCTTCCAACGCCTTCCTACTTCCTGTTTCTACGTGTTTTTGTTCCGACCGATGGGCACCAGTGCCCCTCACAAGAGGGGATCGGCTGCACGCAGGGGTGGCCCTTCGCCGGAGTGGCCTTCGGTGCCGGCCCACTGGGTATCTCCGACCGCTGAATGCCATGGATGTTCGCAGCGGGGTGCGCTCTTGTCGAGCAGCGGCGAAGCGTCCTGGCCTTGTCTTGGCTTCCTTGCAGGCCCACCAACTAATGTGCTCATGACCTTCCGTAATCTACACGAAATGTTTTTAGACCATGTTTTGCTGCGACTGTCTTGGTTTAACACATCGGGTTTACAGTATTTTCCAAGAACATTGTTTTTGCTTTCAGAACATGTTTATACACTTTTGGGTTATAGGAACATGTCATTGTATGCCCATAGGAATGCCGGGACGGTCGGTCCCTGCTCAATCTTGGGCTTGCCCCCCGCCCCCCCCCCCCGGATGCGGCGCGCAGCAGCAGTTCTCTCTCTCTATCTCTGTTGCTTGTGGCCGCCCTTGCGTGCAGCCGAGGGGCCGGGGCGGGGAGGCTGATCCGGGCTTGGGGGAGGGGAGCATCGTCTGTGCCTCTGCGGGCCTTCGGAGACCTCCAGACTTCAAGGGGCCTCGCGGGAACCGTCGAAGACCTCCGTAGAGACCTCCAGGGACCTCCAGAGGGGGAAGAGGCCCCAGGAGTTTCCTTCCGTGGCCGGGGGGGGAGGGGGAGGACGAGCGACGAACTAACGAACGACGACGACGAAAATAATGAGGTCCGAGCTCAAGAGCACAGCTGTGCAAGAGAATACAGGAACCCCTAACCCGAACAACACAGTGAAGACGCGGCCTCACTGAGGTCCCCGTCTTTGCACTCGGGATCATACATCTGGGCGGTCTGTTTCGATGCAGCTGCAGACAAGACCCCCCTACCCCTGATGATCTGTTGCCCTCCCAACTTAGGTCCCCTCCCCAAGTGTCAGGGGCCCTTTTTTGGCCAGCTCCCACGCGCCCGCTCGAGACGCCCTCGCGGCTCGCCCGGGAGCGAGGGCCTCTCTGGGGCTCGGGACCTCCGCTCCCCTGGGGCAGGGCCCAAGGCGCCCCCCCCTCCTCTCCGTTGCCCGTCCTGGCCCGCCCCCCGCCACGAGCCCTCCAACTCCCCTCGCTCCTCCCCCGACTCTACCAGGAGGGAAAAAAACACAGACACAATGAATCGTCGACTCCCAGGAGAATATGCGAAAATATGGGAAGTGGGGGGGAAAAACGAAACCCAGAAAATATGAGGAAATATGGGAAATCCTGTTTATTTGTGTGTATTCATTTGTGTGTCCCAGGGCCCCTTCACTCTAGGCCTCCAAGGTGGGGTCCTGGTAGACTGGGTCGGAGCATCGCGTCGCATCGCCGCTGCTTCGGCGATGCGGCTCGATGTGGGGCCCGAGTTCCCCCACGCCGGCGTCGCCGACGCATCGCCGACGCATCGCCGACGCATCGCCGATGCATCGGCGCTGCATTGGCGATGCAGCGCGATCCTCCGGGCCCATCTACTCGGACCCCATCTAGGAGGCCCACACTGACTCTCTGATCTCCCAGGACACAGCTGGCCCATTCGACTCCCCCCCTTCCCGACCCGGCCCGACCGCCCAAGGGAGACCCCGTTCAGCCCGAATCGGCCCGACCGCCCGACGTGAGGCCCGACCCCATGGCCTGCCGTACACTCAGGAGCGAAAGAAGGACGCACACGCACATGAAGCCGCGCTTGCTTCGAAAGTTCGCACTGCGCGAATGTCCGTATCACGCGGTCGGTCTCGCGGGTCAGGGGGCCGTGTTCACGCAGCGTACGCCCATTGGTGGGCTCCCACTATCGGGCCGGACGAAGGGGGGGATTGGGAAAGGGGCGGGGGTCGAAATCTTCGGCCCTGCCGAGGGGCCCAGTCCTCGATGCACAGCCACCTCCGGCGCCGGGAGGCGCCGGGAAAGTCAGCTATACGCGAGCTGGTTCTCAGGCCCCCCCTTTGCTATATCCCCCCTTTCGCCTGGCGCCCGACGACACACGGCGGCCCGCGCCGGGCCCGCTCGGCCCGACCCGAGCGCCCCGGACTCGGGGACCGTCCAGCCCGGCCAGGCCCGGCCCGTCGCCCGAGCTAGAAAGCGCCCCTCTCCGCGAGAAGCCGGCGCGCGGCCTCGCCGCAGGGGAGGCACCTCCGCGGTGGCCGTCGCCGTCGGTGCTCGAAGAGGAGACAGCGTGGAGTCGGGCCTGTCCCCCTAGAGGAGTAATATCCAAAAATAGTTGAAAAGAATATGGGGACGATTTTGTTTCAGTGTGTTTGGATAATTTGGGAGCATGTTTTGAATATGTTGTTCGTTTTTCGCCCCAAATCCGCCTGTAGGGGGACATGCCCGACCTAAAGAAAGCGCCTAAAGCATAAACTTTTGGCGCTCCGCGCGGACTTCTTGGACTTGCGCTGGGCCCCCCTGGCGGCGCCTCCAGCGCCGCCCCCGGGCGCCGCCCCCGGCGCGCTCCAGGGGGGGCGGGGGGCAGCGCGGATCCAAGAAGTCCGCCTGGAGCGCCAAAAGTTTATGTTGATGCAGCTTTTTCTTCTTCTTCGCATCCGCGGTGGCCGTCGCCATCGCCGTCGTGGCCGCCGCGGCCGCCGCGGCCGACCACCTCGTATCGGCGGCGAGCCCCAGGGGGGAAGCGAGAAGTGGCGGGCCTTCCAAGAAGGCTCTGGCGCCCCCTGGCCTTCGGAGACGTTTTCTAAGCCTTCCCCACAGGCGCAGAAAGCTCCTGAGAGGCGCGAGGGCTTCTGAGACGTCCCGCCGCATTCTGAGAAGGCCCTCTCCCTCTCCCCCCCCCCTCTGGGGAAACCAAGAGGTACCGATACTGCTGCCCCCCGGACCTCTCCTGGGGCGCGTCCTGACCAGAATTTCGAGGCGAATCCAGCGGTAGTAGCGACGAGGGCCTCCAAGGAGAGGCCCCAACAAAAAAAGGCAAAGCCGGGCGAAGGGCCGCGGTCGCTGCCGTCGTCGGAGAGGCCCTGCAGTGCGCCGCCGCGCCGCCGCGTCGCCCCAGGCGGCGGCGCGCGGCCCCCAATGGGCGGCGGCGCCGCCCGGGCGGCCGCGCCGCGCCCCGCGGCCGCCGCCGCCGCGCCCGCGCGCAGAGGCGCGGCGGCGCCGGGCGGGCGGCGCCCGCGGCGGCTGGCGCTGCGGTGCCGCCCGCCGTCGTCGCCGCCGCGCGCTGCCGGTTGGCTTCGGCGCCGCCGTCGTCCTCGCATGTTTGCAGTCTTCTTCCTCCTCCTCCTCCTCCTCCTCCTTCTCCTCCTCCTCCTCCTCCTCCTCCTTCTCCCCCTCCTCCTCCCCTCCTCCTCTTCCTCCTCCTCCTCGCTCCGCATCCTCCTCCTCCTCCTTTCTTCCTCCTCCTCGTCGTCCTCCTCCTCGCTCCGCATCCTCCTCCTCCTCCTCCTCCTCCTCCTCCTCCTCCTCCTGGTTTCTACGCCTGCGGAGTCGGAGGGCGTGGCAGCAGATTTCCAGTATTATTGAGGATATCGAGGGTAGCAACATATATCGCGGCTTAGAAAATATCTAACGTTGTATCGTTCTGGACAGTCTGTACGCACTCTCATCCTCCCTCGGCTCCGTAAGTAGTGCAGAGAATACGGTTATACGCTTCAATGTGCTCGCTAAATGTGCCCCTTCCCACCTGCTTGCGGCTCTCCTCAAGACGTATCTCAATGCTTGGAATACCACCGGCCGCTATCGTTCTGGGATTGTGCCGTGTCGGCTGGGATGTGGGTTGATTGGCGGAGACTCTCTGCAGCATTCTCTAGGTTGCCCTCACTTTCGGCAAGTGGTGGAAGGCCTCGTTTCCCTTCTTCCCCCCCTCCTGGGCCTCTGGAGTCCCCTCTGGCTTTATCATTGGCGTTCCCCATGACCTCTCTCAGATTGAATTGCTCAGCATGGCTATTGCAGTCGATTTCACATCTAGAATTTCAGCAATGTTAGGGTTCATACTAGGCGCACTCCTGCCAAGCTCTCCTCCCTCGTCCGTGCGCTCGCCCGCGCACGTGCCGCGGCGACGCCTGCGGTGCGACGGGTCCTTCAGGGACACGAAGGCCCTTCGGGGGGGAGGTGGAGGAGCAGCAGTAGCAGTAGCAGTATAATCGGAGCAGACGAACCCCCCGATGGAGTGGCGCTCCTCCTCCTCCTCCTCCTCCTCCTCCTCCTCCTCCTCCTCCCCCTCCTCCTCCTCCCCTCCTCCTCCTCATCATCATCATCATCATCATCATCATCATCATCATCATCATCATCATCATCATCATCATCATCATCATCATCATCAGCATCATCATCATCATCATCATTATCATCATCATCCCCCTCCTCCTCCTTCTCCCCCTCCTCCTCCTACTCCTCCTCCTCCTCCTCCTCCTCCTCCTCCTCCTCATCATCATCATCATCAGCAGCATCATCATCATCATCCGTAGCCATTTTTGCTCAAGCTGGTGTGCTAGCGAACCTCGGCGGCTGGCGCGGTTTGGTATGGCGCGGGCGGCGGCCCCCTCGGGGGAGGACGCTGGTGGCGGCGCGCTGGGTCCGAGTGCGGCACGGCGGCAGCGCAGGCGTGCTAGCCAGGCTTGGGCTCGCTGGTCGGGGGACGTGCTCGTCTACGACCTGCAGCGGGCGGTCAAGTTCTGGAGAGGCAGGTACGAGAAGCTGGCGGCGGCGCTGGGAGACCCCTCCATCGCGGACCGCCTCGCGGTGGTGGCGGGGCACCTGCACGACCTGGTCCACGACAAGGTCGCGTCGCCCGTCGACACGCTGCGGAGGAACGTGGCGCTCCACTCGGCCGTGGTGTCGTTGCCGCTGGCGGCGGCCCTTGCTGCGGCGCTGCGCCGCGCCCAAAAGGGCGCGCGGCTGCCCGCGGTCCCCCGTTCCCCCGCGCTTAACGGCGCGGCGGCGCCCTTCGTGCCGTGCCGCGGCTACTTCATGGGCGGTGTCACGGGCGGCACCGGCGACAGCGCCGACGTCGGCATCGTCAAGGGCGAGGTCGGCGGCGCGAGCGACGGCTTCGCGGTGAGAGAGCTGCTCACGGTCGACAGGCTGCTCGAGGGCCTCGGGGTGCGAGGCGACATGGGCGCCACCACCGAGGTGTGTGAGGAGCTGGTGGATCGTGCAGGAGGGCCTCGAGGAGGAGCTGGAAGACGCGCAGTACCTGGGTGAGGTCGGGGGGCACGGCCCCACGGCACTGGGGCAGGGCGGCGTTTTCGGCGTGCTGTCCGACGGCGTGGACGAGTTCAGCGTCGACGGCACCGTCCCGACAGCTCCTGCGAGCGACGCCGAGGAGTTCGAGGAGGAGGAGCTGGAAGCCCACGTTCACGATGACAGCGCCGACGGCCAAAAGCTGGCCGTGGTGCAGAGCCACGGCGACGTGGGCGCAGGCGGGGGCCTCTCGGACGGTGAGCCTGCAGGCAGGGACGGCGCCGTGGAGGGGATCGAAGGGACGACGCGCTTCTTCGACTGGTTAGACGACGAGGCGCTCTTCGGCCCCAACGGCCTCGTGGAGAAGGCCCACTTCCTGGACCGCGCCAGCCTCGACGCGCTGGCGGCCGCGTCCTCGATGCAGTGCGACGCAGTGGAGGTGCTCCGCTGGCGTGCGTTGGACAGGGTCAAGGACGACCACGCCGCGCAGCGCGACGGGGGCACTGACAAGGGCATGGACATGGACGAGTTCATGCAGGCAGTACGGGCCGAGGCCCAAGGAGCAGACGGAGCGAGTGGGGTGTTGATGTGA